AATGTCATCGATGCTTTCAAGTTCAAATACTGTCTCAGCTACTTCAGACATGATCATGCAAGATAATATCAGTACCGCTGAAACAACTGTAAATGCGCAAGCATCACAGTTCACAACTAGTAGTGAAACACAACTGCCAACAGTTTCAACATTATTCAGAGCAACAGACAGTACAATGACATCAGTAACTTCCTCAAATTCTTCAGATTTCAATTCACAATCTACTGATAATGTACCAACTTCTGAATCTCAAAATGAATTTTATATTGAGACAACTACATCAAGCATGAACAATTCTATATCGTCGACAACTTTGTATAGTTTTACCGAAGAAGAATCTGTAATAACAAACTCAATCATTGAATCTTCACAAAGCAATTCTGAAATTGAAACATCATCGTTAAACATTAAACAATTAACATCAAGTTTAGAATATTCATTTGATCAATCGACATCATCTGAATTCATTGAATCTACAAACCAAAAAACTGATTCATCTACTTTGCCAACTACGCATTCGACAACATCGAATCAAGAAACATTTTCTATGAGCTCATTTGTTTCAGCATCATCTACTCATCGAGCACCATTGTCATTCTCCTCAGATACGACTTTATCAGTTCACAGTAATAATACAACCTCAATAGCACCAGTGGAAATATCCACCTCAAACATATCGCATCCCACAAGCACTGTAAGTGATTCGTCAACATCAGAAGACGTTATCAATACGACAAAAGATCAACTTTCAACTTTCCAAAGTTTATCATCTATCAGCGATCATGAAACAACGAGTAGTTCATACATTGATCAACAAATAATTTCCTCATCTCAAACTCATTCAGATTCTACGACAGAAAAAATCCATGATGCTACCGAAACGATTTTCTCCAATCAAATATCCACTAATGACCGACCACTATCACTTCAATTATCAACAACAATCATTTCACAAACTGATTTAAGTTCTTCAAAAATTCAAACATCAACATTAAACGATATTACATCATCTACATATTCACCGTTAATTGATTCATTAGTAGAAACTACACAATCACTGGATAATACAAAATTGATATTTTATTCATTATTAAGTACAGAATCATCATCTGATGTAACCAAACTAACTCACTCACCATCGACATTAACTCAATTTTCCAATCAACTATCAAGTTTACAAACACAACAAGATCTTAATACATTAACCATAAAACAAAATTTGGATTTAACAACAAACTTCAATATCCAATCTCCATCAAAACAAATAACAGAACATTTCGATGTCACCACAACAGAATCTGAAAAATTATTCTCTTCAACATCCGATCAAACATTTACTAACACTCCTGCAGTATCTATTACTGATCAAATACTAACTACATCTTTCTCTTCCCACGAAATTAATAAACATATCACATCAACCATTGCATCGATAACATCAGATACAATAGAACAACGATCAACAGTTAATTTAAAATCATCTATCAATCCATCGACAGTATTCAATACATTTAATTCTAAAGAAACATACTCTTCAACTGTTTATCCAACAGTAACAACAACAAATGTTATATCATCCAATGATCCTATTTCATCTTCTCCATTATTTTCAAATGACATAATAACTACGACAAATATGAAACAAACAGGTACATAGAATTCGATATATTGAACATTTAAAAGAATCATTTTTCTTTTTTGTCTTATTTTAATATTTAGATAATTTAAATCAATTGTCAACAACTCTTTTATCTTCATCTGATTACACTTCATTGAAAGATGTAATTTCTACTGAAAGTTCTTCATTAATTGTCCAGTCAACTGAAACAAATTCAAAGAATTTCGATAAATCTTTTAGTTCGATTCAATCGACACTAATGTCACCTAATCAAACTTCTACGATTCAGATTGAATATAATTCTAGCACGATTAAATCTTATACTGAATCTCTAAATATCACTTCAACACCACTGTAGATTTTTTGCATGTTGCTTCTTCTTAGTTAGATATCAAAGAAATATAATTTATTTCTTTTTCTTCTAGTCAAAAATTGACAATAACAATGACAATACATATGATGATTATAATGAATAATCAAGATCTATTTTTATATATACAAATATGAAAAATAAAAACAAACTATAAGTCCGGTGTGTGTATAAGAAGTTCATCATAATAAATAAATAAAATTTTTTTTTCTTCTTCTTCTTCTTCTTCTTACTTCTTCCTTTAATAAAATAAAATGAATAATTGATATAAGTTTATGTTTATGGATTAATAATACTATTATGATTATAGTCTTTTAGTATCACATTCAAGTTGACAAATAGTTATTTTTTGCAATCATATATCCGTAAACAAATTTTTATTATTTGACTGTCATACTCGAATGTGTTTGCTAGAAAAACCTACAGAGCATAGAATGATATAATATGATTAATAGTTTCATGGAGCTGGATTTATAAAAAGTTTGAAAAGAAAATATATGTACAAAAGAAAATTGAGACATAAGCTTTTCAAATTTATATATTTCCTATAAACGACAACGTATTTATTTAGAAAAGTAATATTCTTAATGTCTATCAAGCACCCTAATCACCAAATTTTGATGTGCTGTTTTCGATAGTCATATTTAATGAAAGCTACTTAATATTATTGTCTGCTATATTGATATCATTATCTTCATCTTCTTGTTACCTGTTGCAATATGTATGAGAAAATATACTTCTTTTTCTAATTATCTCACGTGATAGTCATCATGCTTAACATCATTGCTCGTGAAAATTCAATTTGTAAATTAATCTTCATTTCTTTTATAACTATGGCAATAAGAACAAATTAACTAAATTGCTATTAATAAAAGATAGTTTCCAGGTGTCTCAATGTGTTCGCTCGAGTCTTGAATAAAATATAAAGTTTTTTTTTTTATAAAGAAAAAAGATGTTGCATATTTCCGCGAAACTGTATTTTTCGAAGACCCCATATAGTTTTTCCATATGCTAAAATCTTTCTACAACGAGCAGCAAATATATAAAACGAAACAAAGAAAAAGATAACATTATCATCATCTTAAAAAAGATTTTTGTACATTCAACAAAATGCTCTTGCCTAGTTTTACTCGTTTATTAACAATTACTTTTTCTGAATCTTTTCCTATTGAACCTTTTCACCTATCAATTTGTGTTAACATTTTTTCATCAATTATCGATTATGTTGTTATTAAAAGTGAAAAGGTAAACACATCTTTATGTTGAAAAGTTTCGGATTTGAACTTAAAAAAGAATCAGAAAATACTAACAAATTCGAGAGAATTCGAAGTTTTGCAAGTTGTCAAATATATTATCAAACATTTATTTAGACATTAACTGGTGGTACTCGACATGTGCTTGCTGATTCTTGTGTTAAAAATTTATCAAATCCAATTCAATGAGTAGCTTATGGTTGCGTCATTTTTCAAGAAAAGACTATGGGCTAGCTCCATTTTGTTCTGCCTCGCTTAGTGAGACCTCTAATAATTACTATATGTAAGTAAACAATCAAGCAAGAAAAGTATAAAAAATACGTTACAGTGACATTATAAAAAATCACGACAAGACCAATGTCATAGATGGATCAAAATAAGTCATGACTTCTATTTATTAATAACTATCGTCTTTCAAAGTAAAATGAATTCTAGTGCGTCATGCTCTCAATATCATCATAGCCGTAGCATATAATAATTATCTTTTATTGCACACAAAACAGAACAGAGTAGAAAATCATCAAAACTGCAAAACAAATTAAAATTTCAGCCTGAATTCAACACCAAGCGAACTACACTACGAACTTTTTTTTTATAGAACCATATTCAGGTGTGTCCTGAAGTTGACAGGCTTGGAGATTCAATAACTCAGAAACCTGATTGGAGGATTTTTGTTACAATTGACTGAATTTTGGTGCAGATATTGAAGCTTTTTTTTTGAGAACCAGTGAGCAGAAAAATGTAGTAAATTCACTGAAGAACAACGAAAACTTCTCAAGATTGAGGATGGTCTCATGCTGGGGACGCCCCTAATTATATTACCTATATTGTTTATCGATCCAGGTTTATTCTTCAAGAATAGAAAGGTATATATATATGCATCGTTTAAAACCAATGATTATGAATTACAGTCACATCAAGATTTATTTTTATAGAAATAGTTGATTTTCTTTCTTGTATGTTACTTATTTATAAAATTCTTTTAGGTTTTCTTCGATAATTTGAATAAGTATATGTATAATCGAAAACTATTTTCAATTAGTATTCATTTGTAGATTTCGATATTTTTCTGTAATAAAACAATTTATTTTTAATTGTGTTTTGATTCACACTTTAGTCACCTGATCATTTTTTCCACTTTACTCTTCATCAATTTGTTGATGATGATGAATATGTACAATGGTGTGAACATACGCAAGCAACAATACGTATATATGTTTAATTGTGCTCGAGGGCTCCGACAATGACAATTGATATGAGACAGAGAATAAAAATAAAGAATTGTGTTTAATTTCGCAGGAAATGAAGTGTTCAATTATCGACACACGTACACATATAAGGAGCATAACAAAAAAAAAAAAGAAGTTTCTTATTCACAAATCATAATATCAAATCTTCTATATGTAAGACGTTTCTCGTTAATTATTTCTATTGATCAATTAAATTGGCGCATAGCGGGAGAAAAGTCGATTAAAGCAAAAAAAAAATCTCGATAAATATTAAATGATTTGAATGATGACGTCAGACAATCTTCTTCGTCATATGGTAACATCAAATGTCGGAATGAACAAAAAAAAAAAATTGAAGTAACATGAATGTATATCTATACAACTATCCCGCTAGCTTTCTTTTGATCATCATATTTCATTTCGTTTGATTAACTTAACAATCATCTTTTCAATATTGATACAATGATTGAAGTTAATACATATATATATATATAAGTATATTCTCTAATTACAAGCTCAATTGAATCATTTTAAATAATTGTTTTTACTTCTGTTTGAGAATAATGTTCTATAAATTCACTTGGTGTTCCAACTGTTTGTATTGTATCTAATTCATTGATATTATATGATACAATTGGTATATCATATTCATCATTTTGTCGTTTAACTTTTACATTTTTATTCTTTATTCGTTGACAAGTATAAAATATATAGAATAGAATTAAAATAAGAATAATTAAAATTAATAATGAAATTCCAATAATAATATATAACCATTGTTTGAATTTCGATTTTTGTAAATATATAATTGGTGTTTTAATTGTAGAAAAATATGCACAATTAACTATTGTTAAAAGAATTAATAAGAAATGAAAAATAATTAGATTGTTCATAACTTAAATATTAAATTTCATATAACAGATGTAAAATATATTTTGTTGCCAAGGTAATTCATTTAATTAAGTAAAACTTAGACAAAAAAGGTGTTTTCTTTTTCTTTTTCCTTTTCCTTTTTTTTTTTTGCTTGCAATCAAAGATATATATCTATCAATTTTTCTTTTTATTTGTGTGTCCGATGAGAAAATTAAACAGCAGTAAAACGTCGTCAGTTAATTCATATATTATTCAATATAGTCATCATCATTTTAGACGAATTAGAATACCGTCGAGCAGTCACCGAAACGAACACATACAGAAACTTGAAGGAGGGGGGGCCAAAAAAAAAAGAGGAAGCTTTGGTCTATGATTTCTCCTCCTCTCGTTCTTTTCCTATGTACAATATGCACATTTATGTGAAATGATTATATTGGTTTGTTGATTACAACATGTGTGTCGTCCCTCTCTTTTCATGCACCAATGGAATAGCTCGATGTACACTGCGTCTTTTTTCTCTCTTGTCAGAAGAAAAAGAGACAGAGAAAGAGAGAGAGAGAGGGAGAGAAAGCGAATATAATTATCATCGAACGCATATAGTCACAACTAAGGTTTTTTTCTTTTCCTCGGTGTGCACTCACGATCAATTCATCAACTACATTTAATAATTGAATAAAAACAACGAACTTTAAATATATATATATATTTATTTATATATACACATAACGAACTTTTTCAATGCGAGGTTTTACAATAGCGTGTATACTTGGAAATAATCATTCATCAACAATAACAAATAATTTAAAAAGAAAGAATTCCGATGATAATGAGGAACAACCATCTCATAAACGACAAACAATTGAAAGTAAGAATAAAAGAACCTTTTTATTATTAAGATATCATTTCATTTCAATTATTTTCTGTTATATTATATGCATGCGATCTATATATATATATAATAAGACTTAATCAATATAGTCTATTTTCTATTGTTCGGAAAAGAAAAAAGAGAATTTCTTATCAATTACTATATGAACAATAGACGAGAGAATATCATAAATAAAGTAACAAAACGAAATCGATTAATTTATTCTATTTAGTACCTGAAATCTCATCTTCATCATCTGTTATGCTTCTTCAAAATTCATCATCAGAAAATAGCAATAATAAATTGTTAATAAATGATGAAGAACATGATTCATCAACTGAACAACATAGTTGTGATGAACGACCACGAAAAGTACGACGTAGTCGAACAACATTTTCAACATATCAATTACATCAATTAGAACGTTCATTTGAAAAAACACAATATCCAGACGTATTTACACGTGAAGAACTTGCTATGAGATTAGATTTAAGTGAAGCACGTGTACAAGTTTGGTACGTTAAATAAAAACATCAAATATTTTTTTTTTTGGTTTTATACTAAAAAGAAAATTTTTTTTATAGGTTTCAAAATCGTCGTGCTAAATGGCGTAAACGTGAAAAAGCTCTCGGACGTGAAAGTCCAAAATTCATGGGTCCACATGACTTAGAAACATTTCGCCATCAAATGTCAACATATTTATCCAATGCTTTAACAGGATCTGTTAATGGAACAAATCCTAATAATAATAATAATAATAATGATCGTCCACAAATAGCAATTCCTCCGCCACATTATATACCATTTTTCATGGGTCGTATTGATGAAAAAGTTTTACAACGATTACCAGCAACAGCAAATCATCCAAATCTTGATTTACTTTATCATCATCATCATCATCATTCAACACAATCATCAAATATAAATATATCTTCAGCATCACCATCATCATCATCATCATCAAGTTGTTCAACATCAGATATTCATGAAGATGCATCATCTTATTTAACAACATTTGATCATCATAGACGTGTAAAATTAGAAATGCAAGATGCAACTGCTTAATACATTTTGAATAAAAAAAAAAAAAAATCTTTCTTTTCTTTTCTTTTCTTTTCTCTTTTGTTTTCCTAATCTTTACAGTGCTTGTACAGTTTATGTGTATGTCTTATTTTTTAAATATGAAAAACGAACAAAACAAAAATCAATTTTTAATTAATATTTCTACAGATGCAGATAATGATTTCAATTTTTGTTTTTTTTTCTTTTCTAAGTAAATCGGTTTATGATTGGTTGAATATTTGTGAACATAAAAATTAGTCTCTTGTGGCGAATGAATAAAAAGAAAATATATGTCAATTGGTTCTTTTCAATAATAAGATATTATATGATTAAATTCATTATAGTATTTCGTGACTTTATTATTCATTTGTATATTTATGATGACAATATGGAAAATTAGACAAGAGATAAACGGAAATATAAGAAAGAAGGTCGAACTTGTAATTTAACAAGAGGAAGTACGGAAATGCATCATCAAAAGAAAGACAAGAAGAAAAAGCAGACAAAAAAAAAGAAAACTAATGTATATTTTCATTACTCTAGTTTTATTTTATATTCTTAAAGAATAATAGAATCGTTTGCGTGTTTAACAAGAAAGAGTCTCAAACTAATCGAATAATCCTGACTAATCTGTTACTATGAAAGAAATAATCGTTTTTCCGCTTCATTTATATCCTATTGGTATATGAATAAAAAAAGAAAACGTTACTATATGTTTATATGACAAGGATTTTGATTCACACTATCATCATCATCAATACCACCTGTCGTGTTATTGAATGAATAGAGCTACTCGAGTTAATTGCGGGCGACTTGAGCTTGTTGGAAATATATATATATATATACTCTTATTCTTATATACAAGTGGCTCAATATATAATTGTTCTATCGTTACATATTCTTGTCTCTTTATCCATACACACCCATTGAGATCGTTAATACCCATAATTAGATTCGAGGTTGTTTTATATATATTATATATTGAGTTCCTCTTTCTTTAAATACTCTACTTATACAAATAATAGAACAAAAATGATGATGAGGTCGGTTATATGCGAAGACTATTAGAAGCAAATAATTACAGTATATATGTGCCTTCTATATCTTTAATAACATGCTTATTTATGAATAATTCACAAGAAAATAACAGCAATGTGGACATTTAAGATGAAGATAATGTCGTCAAAGAAGAAGCAATTTGAAGCTTGATTACATCTGATGATGACGATAGTAAGAGCAAGTGCCCGATGCCGATGAATTGCTCATATCCGGTATGCTTTTTATTCTTTAATCATCTCCATCTGCATTTTTTTTGTCATCATCATATTGATGACAATAAAACAAAAAAAAAAAAAGAAACTGAATGAATGTCATCATGGGCAATCGCTAGTTTCAATTGCAATATCCTGTTGTATGTGCATATCACACGATACTCTTCACGTCTCTAATTTTGTTTCATTTCCGTTTTTAATGTTCGCTTTGCTTATCGAGGTGTATGTCCTCATTTATGTCTCTTCTAATCAAGCTATTTTGTCTAGAAGAAAATTAAAATTAATATATAATTATTTTTTATTATAAAAAAAAAAAAGAAAACAACAACAACAACAACAAAAGGTAGAAATTTTAAAGAAAATAACGAGCAAAAGCAAGTGAAACATTAATAATAAGAAGACAAGTACCAAAAATTAAGCCAAGTAAAATACTTGCACGACGACGTTTAAATAAACTTGGAGATAAATATTCAACAAATGAGGAAAGAATATATTGACCATCTAATGCATAACATGGTACTGCATTAAAAAAAGCTAATGCAAATGAAAATGCACCGAGATATCTAAGAAAATAGAAATATTTAATTTTTATATTTAACTGTTTAAATAAACAAATTAACTTACTGAAAAAATAATGGAATGTCATGAATAAGCATTGTTGGAAAATATATATAATTTGGTTTATATGATTGAATACTAACTAAATTGAAAAAAAAAAAAAGAAGTTTATTATTTACAATTTTGTTTATTTGAACTTGAATTGCCCTTTTTTTATAATTTGAAAACAAAATAATTTGATTTGATATTTTATTTTTCTTGCGTCATATTTGCTATTTTTAATGCTATAAGAACAGATAAGAAATTCTCAGAAAATTTAAAGTCATTAGGATAGATTTTTAAACCATATAACCTTGTGAAATTTCATTGAAAGCAATCAATATATTATACAATATTTATTAGATTTTTGCAAAATTAAAGAGAAAAAAAAAGTATTTTTTAATTTTTATAAAAGCAAGATCTAATTATTATTCCGGTTTCACAGTTCATTTCTAATAAAATTTCATTAGTTTATTTATTTTTCTTTAACGATTCATATTTATCATTATATCAACAAGAAATCGGAAACAGAAATCTTGTTTTGTTTTTTCTATCTTTCAAATTATTCTAATAATCATATTTTATTCATAGAAACAATTTTACGGTCAATTGTTCTTTATTTTCACTGGTTAGATGACTTTGAAGAGAAAAAAAGAAGTAGATGAAGTCTATATATGATTAAATTTATATCCACAGGATATGTTGTCTAAGGTTTCTAAGAAAATTACTAAGAATGACATTTTAATCAATTCTATTTCATTTCTTTATAATAACATAACATGAATGAATTTTATTAATAGATAATATGTATTGTTGCTGTTTTTTTTTTGCTTACTAGTTCGATAAATTTCATGAATTGAACCAACAAAAAGTATTGTCGGGCCACTTGTATGAGCAATACGTATTAAACGTGTAATATTATCGTGTGAAAATGGATGAACACATGAAGAATCACTATTATAACTTTGACAATCACTATTTATAAAACATGTTGGATGTTGAGTAACAATACGAGCTTCCATACAAGCACCATTCTATACATGTATGAATTAGAATAAGATGTTTTTTTTTTGTGAAAAAAAAATGTAATTTACATTATCAGGATATTGTTTGGAATGATAAAGAAAACAATAATTTTTTTGTGATAAATTTTGACAACAATCAGAATGTATTGATTGATTCAATTCTAAATTTAGAATGAAAAAACAATGTTATGCATTGTAAAAATCTCTAAAGAATGGAAATAAGAAAAGAATTTATGATTTTTAACTTCTAATGAGAAGTTTCAGTTGAATATTCAAGATAGACAGGCTGAAACATAAACTTGTAGTCAAATGCAATGTTAACATGGTAATACCATATTATGAACATATTTTCTGTCTCATCATTAAGCTACTGATCAGCTTTGACTCAATTCGATGCAGATCGAACTTATAGTCAACAAAGCTTTGCCATTCTTATTTCAGAGAAATATTCTGAAAAAAAAAACCATATAATGGTAAAAGAATTGTTTTCTTGATAGTTTTTAGTCTTACGTCCGCAAACAAAATTATTGATGATATTAATAAAGTATTGAATAGAAAAGACTTCATCACGCCATCATAATTGTTTTTTTAGTTTCAGTTTTGACATGACCTTCGCGAAGTACAGACTTCATTAAATTTTCTAATGATAGACAAGGAGTCACGATTAATTTGTGACATATCATTCTCCGTCTAGTGACATTATCAAGGCATTAACGTACGAATGTTTTCCTGTTGTAAAGTGTATTAAAACTTTTTCGAAATAAATCTATTATAATCTTTCTTTTATGTGTATCACTACAGTCTATAAAATCGATTTTTTGCTTAGTCTTCATAGTATATCTTCTACAAAATATTTCGAAAAAGACATTCTCACATTGAAAAATATTCAATTATGAAATATATATATATGTATGACAGATCTCGATGGGATTGGCTGGAACGAAGGAAGTCGTCGCATATTTTGTTTTTCTTAAAAAGTGGTCCACCCATGGATGACTTATCTAATTATATTGGATAAATTTTAAACACATGAAGAAGCAAACATAGTTCGAATACTAATAGTTGATGCATAAAAAAAAATTTTTGGTAACATATTTGACAACTTCCAAAACTTTCAACTTTCTCGAGTTCATCAGTACTTTCTAATTTTTTTTGTTCGAAAACCAAAACCTTTTCGACATAAAAATGCATATGCTTTTTTCATTTTTAGTAACAACAAAGGTCGACGGTTATTGTTGCAAAAGAAATTTGATCTATTCGAATGTATATTACTTTGTATGTGACAATGAAACAGAACTAGTAGTTGAAGAAAACTTGTTAACAAGAATTGATAATTGAAATACAGAAAGTTTTTTTTAGTACGATGACAATTTTATTTTTATTTTTATTTTGCTTTATATCCTTCTTGTTCATTGCAGAAATGTTTTAGCACATGTATGAGTTACATGAGATTTTCAAAAAAAAAAGATTTTAGTGAAAATCCGTAACATTTTTTGGAAATTTTATATTTTATTCGAGATTGAGTCCATTGTAATATCGGATCAGCCGAGTTTGCTATTCAAAAAAACAATTTCGGTCCAGCCTATTGAGACCTGAGATTTTTATAAAAATATTCTTCATAATCATACCAATATGACTTGAATGAAGTTGTATTTCAGTTTGTGTTAAACAATATCCACTACTTTGTTGTGGATGTTGATCATTAATTGAACGTAAACATTGATACCAATCATTAGATGTATTTACTGTACATGCATCAATCGATTGAATTATTGAATGAACAGGTAAAAGATTACGTAATGGTGAATCCTTAAGAATAAAATAAATACAAAGAAAAAAAAGCTAACTGTTAGATTGTCTTTTCTTCTTCTTTTTTTTAGAAATGATTACTTTTGCTACACGAGATACAGTTGCTGCTTCTGTATAAAAATATCGAAGAAAAATAGGATTCCAAAGAAGAAATACAACAGCAATGGCAACTAGGATCATATTATGAAAAACACCAGCACAATAAATTCTTATAAAAACAAACAAAAAAGCATAATTCAATTTTTATTTAAAAAACTTTTCTTAACTTACCGCAATTGTCTTACAGCTGAAATCATTTGCAATTGTTCTTGATGTAAATCAACATAAGCACCTGGATAAAGAAGGAATAAAAAATATCCACAACCATTTACACGAATTTGTTCACTATTAAAGAAAAACACATTATCTAAATTTTCTTTTTGTTTTGTAGAAGGTCTCATCCCGTCAAGCATAGATCTTTCTCCATGTATATTTAAATCGTATGAAATATTCAGCATATATATTGTGGGGGGTCAAAAAAAGCTCATTTGACAATCTAAAATTCTCTGTAGGGCTTCATTCTATAGACTTCATTTTCTTGCTGACAGAGCATATCAGGATGTAGTTCATGACACAAACTTTTTTTTTTATTGTTACTTTTCAAGGAAAGAAGACGGATAAATAGTTCAATGTCTCGAAAAACTCAAAAAATAGCACTCTAATTATAGAATTATTCTTTGACATAGTAATAGTAACTAAGCTTAATTGCAAAAATGGGTACTTTCACCCCCTACATCGTGATATGGTTTTTCAAACAGAGACAAAATCATCAGTTACAATGAAATTGTTTTGAGAATTTTGCGATGTGCAGTCAAAAAAACATAAACAGAGGAAAAGAAGAAAAAGCCTATATTTTTCAAGCAGAAAATAACGGAAATGTTTTGAAAAAAAGAGGTGACAAGTAAAATGTCATGTTTTCTATGAAAGTAAAACATATCAGTAAGAAATAATAAAAAAATACTCACGCTGATGCTGCTACAGCATGTCCAAATTCATGAAATATTGTACATAAAAGTAATGCCAAAAAGAAATGTGGCATTTGCTCTAATGGTACATTAACACCGGGAATCTAAATTAAACAAACTTTTGTTTTTTAAATGTAAATATTTATTCTACAAACTATAGGTTGAATCAATAATTTATCACGTTCATCTTCTATTGCATCATTTTGTTTACTAGACTTTTCTGGAAATGATCGAACATCATCATTTGTACTTATTGTAAATCCTTTATTTGATGGAAATCTTCTTTGTAATTCATATATATATTTGATAGGTAAAATCAATAAAGTTAAACAAGCTGTCATAGCTGTTGCAAAAGCAACAAGAATTCCTATAGTAAACCAAATTTTCCATAAACGAGAATTAGTTGTACCAATACGATAGAAAACACGATTGAATGAAGTTGTATAACAACCAATACTAAATATTGATACATGACAACCTAATGAACGAAGTAGACGAATATATGGACGCTTCGTATCTTGACAACGCTAAAACATTTTATGGAAAAATAAAATAGGTTTTTTTTTTTTGTTTTCTTTTTAGGGAAAATAATGAAAAGAAACAACTATACCAATAGAAGATGATTGATTAAATAGATAATACACCAAATACCAAGAATTTGAAGAAGAAAGCGAACAAATATCATTGACGATGCGTTAAAACGCATCTTGGAATGATCATGATCCTTCGAATAAAAAAGTTAAACATGTCAAGTTTCCAGAAAAACGAAAAAAGAAAAAAAATCAAGAATTAGAAATGCCTATGATTAATTTACAAAAAATTCTAATAAGGAATTTTATTTGATTAAATACACATTCTCAAAACCTCTATAATCAATCAGTGAATTCGTACCAGCAAGTTTTTCAGATTATGCTTATGTGTTACAACGAACTTGTCATTTTCAATTAAGATCGATAACAGAAGAAAAACAGCCATCTATCCCTTTCGTAAATTTAAATATATTCACAAATGTCTCAATTAGTTTTTTGTCTTCATGATTTTTCTTTCCAAATCTATTAGCATATGTCTTGAATGATCTATTATTATTTTTAATGATAATTGATTATAACTTACGACTATACTTGGCATATTTGTAATCGAAATAGAATTTTCAAATCAATCACATTTGTCGTTGATAGATAATCGATTAATGAATCAATATTACATTTTTTTATATAATTACTCGATAATTATTATTTCTGAAGTAATGAGTAATAGATTAAATTAAGAAATAGAAATCGAATTTATTTATAAGCAAAATTTTAAATAAAACAATAAGAGCCAAATCGATTTCTTGTTTATAAAAAAAAAAATTATTGCAAGAAAAATAAAAATATATAATGAAATTCACAAAAGAAAAAAAGAAAACAAAAATAAATTTATTGTTTTTGTTGTTCTTCATATGATGTTGCTAAATAACGATTAAATTTATAAACTGGTGATGATGATGTTGATGGTTGTTGTTGAATATTGGCAGTAGATGAAATTGTAACATTTCTATTTGTATTATTTAATGGTTCACTTTTTCTTAATATTGATGTTTGTTGTGGTGATGGTGAACGACGTTTAAAAAATGATTCATCATCATCATTTGTTGGAGGAGCTGATGATGAAACTGTACTTTTGACAAGAGGTAGTGGTGGTGTTGTAGAATAAATAGATATATACAATGGAGCTGTTCGTACAATAGCTGGTGAATATTGTTGTGATGATACTGCTGATGATGAAGATGATGATGAATTTAATATTGATCGTTGTGAATTATTAATTGGAGGTGAAAAATGTTCTGTTTGAAAGACAGGTGAAGATGCATCTTCTGATAATGAGTTTGGTCTATCATAACAAAAGCTTGTTGATCGTGATGATGATGAAGAAAGTTCTTCATCACCAAGAGAAAAAACATTATTTTCCGAAGGTAGTTGTATTGGTGATGTAATTGGTGGTGAAGAAAATGATGGAGTTTTATCACTGGATGTTGAAGATAAAGTAGCAATTGGAGTTGCAAAACCACCTGATGAATTAAGCATTAATGCTGAATGATTATATAAGGGTCGAACAACCTAAATATAAAATTATAAATATAAGTTTGTAGAAAATGTTTTTTAAAGGAACAACAATCAATGAAAATTTCTATAATTATATATCGAATTCTTTCTCTTCGTTCTTATTTTCATAATTTATAAGTGGAGAAAACAATGAACATTTCTAAGTTTATCTTAATCATTAGGAGAAAACAACAAAAAAATAATTTAATATTAAACAAATCTAACCAATGCTACAAAAGCCTAAAACATAAAATATTTGCTCATATTTTGACCATCAACAAGACAACTGGTAAGAGTCCCAAACAGTTAATAATAACAAGAATTTTTCATTATTTACGAGTATATATTCAAATTTTTCTTCTGAAGGTAAAGTTGAACAACTATTAGTAAAGTTTGTGAAAAAAGTCCAAAACTGTGTTCATACAAAGCCAAACAGAATGTTGTGTCTTGGAAGTAGACATTTGCCAAAATACTGAAACCAATTCAAAACTTTTAAATTCCGAAATTTCAGATTTTGTCTTCTCTATTGAATTAAGAGAAGAAAAGTTACAGTTACTTGCTATTTACGTTACCAGTTACCAAGTAACGAACATTTTGTGGATTCATCAAGGAAAGGCTCTTTTTTTAGAACAGCGATTAGAGGTTTAGACTACTGACCCTCGAAATTCTTTGATTAAACTTTATTTTAAAAAAATCTTAATTTTAAAAACTAAACTTTCCTTCATAAATCTGCAAAATTTCTCTTACTAATTATATGGTAACGTAGGTGAAACTTATTACCCTGACTTTAACTTTTAAATCAAGACTACAATGTTCTGTCTAATTCCGATCATCTTTAATCAAGTTTTATCAACTACTGTTATTTCCACTAAACACTCTTTTTTTTGCAATAAAAAAAAGTTAATTTGAAAGTTTCAATAGATAATCGATATAACTTTCTTCCTTTACAAGTGATACAAAAATGGTAGTTAGTTACACTGTAATGGTAACTTGTCTTAGTTTGTACTATCATGTGAAGATTACTAAAAGAATTAAACTACTTTATCACTAGGATCAGTGTTTTAATTCATTAGAGAAGACCAAACCCATAACTGATCCAGATTCAAAATCTCGAAACCTAAAAGTTTTGGTTTTTGTCCATATCTAATAGGAACAGCTTCAATACAACATTATTGCAGAACACACAATTTCGTACAAAATAAGATATTATAATAAGCGAAATCTATTTTTTTTTCACTAAAGAACTAATTTCTATGGAAATTTGCCATTGTTATTCCAAAAACTATTTTTAAAAATACCAAAGTTTTAAAACCTATCCTACAAAAGTAAATATCACAAGTTTGTAGAGCGAATTTCACTCTATAAAATTGAGTCATTACAAACTCATTCGCATATTGAATTCGATCAGGTTTCAAACAATATACAAAATTGTTCAAATAATATTGTGTACAACTATTAACTTGAATCTTTTGATTACTTTTACCCAATATTACTCTCGAAGGAAATTCTAAACATATACGTCAGATTTTAATTAACTGTTTCTGACTTTTAATCATTTGTTTTTAAGTGGTAAAGCAAAAAAAAATGAATAAATATTTTCTCATTTATCTTACTTCTTGTGTTTGATTATCATTCAAAATTTTACTATTAACAAATATACGTTGATGAGAATGATCACTGGATGAATCTGAATCTGACAATCTCGGTGCCGTATGAACAAAAACATTTTCTTGATTAGATTTTTCATATTTTGGTAAAATTTGTATTGGTGAACTACATGTACGATGATGACCTTTTTTTGATGATACTTTATTTATATTGCTAATAAAACGACTTGTAGCTGATTTTATTGGATAAGTATTTATTTCTGGTAATGATACTAATGATGTCGATGATGATGACCGTGTATGACGAGTAACAGATGATAAATCAATTGATTTATCGTTATCAAGTAAACTCTATAATAAAAAAAAAGAATTTATATAAATTTAATCCTTTTTCTGCTTGTGCAAATAATTACTTTATCTTTTGTTGATTCAATATCTGAAATACTACTATTATGTGATATTGATTTTTGCCATGATACAATCGATTCTTTATCAGACTCATTTTCACTATCACCAGCTGAACTTATTTGTGTTTTTCGATGATGTCTAATATTTAATGATTTATGAGAACCAATAATTGGTGTTGTTGCTGGTGAACATTCACGTGAATCAACAAAACCTTTATTAAAACCGGCTATTTTTGAATCATCAATATTAAAATTAATAGCTGCTAAACCCATTTTATTCATCCATTTAGCCATTTCATCACGTGTTGAACAATAGAAATATTCACATTTTTTACTATTATTATCATCAGCAATACTAAAACCACTAGAAAAATAAATTTTATTTATTTAGTAATAAATTATTCAACATTTGTTTATTTACTATTTTTTTCTTTGTGGTGCTGGTGAAACATTTTTTCCTTCAAGTTTAATCTCAAGTTCTTGAGTTTTATCCTAAAATTAAAAAGAAATGTTTTATTTCAAAATTCTTATTTTTCTTAGAGAACGTACATCTTTTGATTTAAATATATATAAAGTACCACCTTTTAAAACACACCAACAAAGTTTCCATGGTACGAATGATATCGTTCCTTTCGGTATATAACGATGTAGAAAACCTTCACAATCACCTTTACCCAAATCTTTACATGAAATTTTTTTATATGATGCTAAAAAAAAACAAAATAAATAAATCAATACTAAAGACAAATTAAATTCAATCATTAACTATAGATTGAACTCCTTTAGACCAATATATAAAATAACTATGCCGAAGAATAATTTACCTTCTTATTTAATTTATTATTAAAGGGATACTAGAATGATAGAGTTTATATAAATATATATATATTTTATTGGTGTTAATCTCATAGATAAATTTTATTTAAATCACTTACATTTACGTTTTAGACGTCGTTCTATAGAACCAGAATCCTAAATGGAATTAAATAAAATAAGCTGTAAAAAAAAAACAAAATTTAATCATTTTACTTTTCGGCTATCACCATAATTTAACGGTGGTTTATTGGTTACAACGTTAGAACTATTATTACTACCAAATATTGAACATATTTCCATCTTTAATTCATTACGAAATCTATATAAATACAAAACGAATTCTTTTTTTTTACTTTTATTTGTCTATGTTTATATGACTTACGTCATGGCTTTTCCAGTATCACCACTAGATCGTTTTGTGCGACCTTTTTCTGGTGAATCTGTTGACTAAAAACAAAGTTTACAGATGTATAATAAGATAAAATAAGAAACTATATAAATATATTAAAGTTTACTTTAAATATACTTGAAATTGATGAAATTGTTGAAGATGTTGTTTGTAAACTTGTTTGACTAGCACTTTTATTTATTGATGCTCCTGATATTACTGGTGGAGATGAAGATATTTGATCATCATGCAATGATGATGTTGAATTATTTGCTGAGTTTTGATTATATATTGATTCAATACGTTTAACATTTACTAATTGTGGATGATCTTTATTTGTATGATTATTCATATCAGCAATAACTGATTTAGTATCTTGTCGA